ACCTTCTTGCCGCTTCCGATACAGGATACCATCCAGGATTTCAAGCTTGCTCCATTCTCTTAACAAGAAGCTTAATTCAGGGAGTTCTTTTCGGAGGGATGGTGGGATGGTTCCTCCTACCTCCATTTGTCTGAGTACCTCACAGATAGTGGTGTCTGCTCTTTGTTTGCTTCTTAGCTCATCTGGTGCAAATGAAGTTATGACCGGTAAGCCACCGAATTGATCATCCTCTTCAAAACTCCCTGGAAGAGCTCTCGGATGGTGGGCGAGGGACATAACGTAAGTGGTAATGGGTGATGTCTCCACAGGAGGGTTGTCGATCACCAGGTGGACTAAGTGTTTGTCACAGAGGGCTTTAATGGTGTTCTCATCCATAGACACATGGTCTGGTTCCAAATGCCTCTTTGTGAACTGTTGTATTCTCTCAACCTCCTTCTGTGATAATGTATCGTCAGGTAATCTGCTGTGTGGCCGCCTGGACAGTCCATCTGCATCCTGATTTTGTTTCCCAGCTCTGTACTGTAGCTGAAAGTCAAATGTTGACAGAGCAGCCAACCATCTGTAGCTTGTGGCATCAAGCTTAGCAGAGGTGAGGATATAGGTTAATGGGTTACTGTCTGTGACAACAAGAAATGAACTCCCATACAAGTAATCCTGGAATTTCTCCGTCACAGCCCATTTAAGAGCGAGAAACTCTAATTTGTGGGCGGGGTACCTGCTTTCACACTTTGATAGCCCACGGCTCGCGTAAGCAATGACCCGTTTCTGTCCTTGTTGTTCCTGATACAGGGCAGCACCGAGACCTGAGATACTGGCGTCTGTGTGTAGTATGTAAGACAACTTGGGATCGGCGAACCCAAGGATGGGGGCAGTTGTTAGCTTCCCAATGAGAGTTTCAAAAGCTGTCTGGCAATCAGGGGTCCATCGGTCACCGAAGAAGTCCTTCGGATTGTGGAACTTTTCAACTCTCACTGAAGTGTTGAAACGTTTTCTCAGTGGTGGGTACCCGGCGGTGAGCTCGTTGAGTGGCTTAACGATCTTTGAATAACCTTTGACGAATCTGCGGTAGTAGCCACAGAATCCCAGAAATGTTCTCAACTCTTTCAAAGTGTTGGGTTTTGGCCAGGTTTTTAATGCTGTTGTCTTCTCTGGATCCGTTTCGATGCCTTTCTCAGATACGATGTGGCCTAAGTACTTTACAGATGTCTGAAAGAACTTGCATTTTTCCGGTGAGAGCTTCAGGCCATACTCTCTTAGTCGGTTGAGTACTCGCACCAGTCTCTCTTCATGTTCTTCCAGCGTCGGGGAGAAAATGATAAGATCATCCAGAAAAACTAGGGCTTGCTTTAAGTTCAGCTCTCCTATGCAGCGTTCCATGAGCCTCTGGAATGTGCTAGGGGCGTTCGTTATTCCTTGAGGCATCCTGTTGAACTCAAAGAACCCTAGTGGGCAGACAAATGCAGTTTTGTGCTTATCTGCTTCCTCCATTTCAATCTGGTAGAAACCGGATTTAAGATCTAGCACAGAGAACCATTTGGACCCAGTCAAGGCGGAGAAGGATTCTTCCAAGTTGGGTAAGGCATATGAATCTTTTACTGTTTGATGGTTCAGTTTTCTGTAGTCAATGCAGAGTCTAATGTCACCATTCTTTTTCCTGACGACTACAATCGGCGAAGAGAAAGGGGATTCTGACTCGCGTATGACTTCAGCATCCAGAAGTTGTTGGAGATGGTTACGCACAGCTTCTATGTCTTGAGGGTGTATAGGCCTCGCCCTATGCTTAAACGGCGTCTCATCGCTCAGTTTTATACAATGTCTCATTTTGTCAGTGCGACCAAAGTCAAGCTCATGCTGTGCAAACACTTCTGGCATGGAGTTCAATCTTTTAGTTATTCTCTCTTTCCATTGACTAGATATGGAGGAGTTTCCAAAGTCAAAACTAAGTTTTGGTTTGTGGTCAGGCTTTATTTGAGAGTCTGAATTGAGAGGGCCAATGGACTGAACATTCTTGATGGCGTGTATTTCTGCTATCACAGCCTTTGGAGACAGGGTTATATCATGGTCTGACTCATTCTTAATGATAACTGGTATGCAGTGTGGAAGTTTAGATGGTAAATTTGTCAAGCCATCCGTTACCATCATGCCACCTGGCAAGGGGGCTGATCTTGGTGATTCTACTACCACCCATCCTTCTGCATTAGGTGTTCTGTGACTCACTTTTCCTTTGAGGACTTGGGTCCGACCAGCTGCAATAGTCTCAGAACCACTGCTGTGTAGTCTCACCTCTCCCAGATTGGAATCAACAGACCATCTTTTCCTGTCTTCAAGGGTCTTCAAGACAACTTTACAGCCATACGGCAATGAATCATAATTCTGAAGCACAGTGTCTGCATACTGTTCGTAAAGGGCATCTAAGGTGTTGGTGCCTACCAAAACTGATGATAGAGTGGAGCGCATGTCAGGCACAATCAGGGCTAGTGAGGGCACTTCAATGTCTTTTCCAAATGAACCCTTAGGAAACTTGAATGTCGTTTCAACATACCCAATGTAAGGTACTTCTTGGCCATTAGCTCCTTCTACTTCAAGCAAGTTGTTCAATGAGTGGATTGGTAGATGAGACAGGTTCTCTTGATAGAAAGAATTGGGGATTGTTGTCACTTGAGAGCCTGTATCCAACAAGCAGTTACAATGTCTTTCACCCACAGTCACGTGTGCGGTGCACTTGGCCCCAATTAGTCCTTTTGGCAGAGTGGCTGACTGTTTTCTGGTGTAGGAATGTGCGTAAGAGGAGCAATGCTTTTTCTTGGGACACTTTGCTTGCGTTTCAGTCCCCGTCTGTCCCCCAACCGGAACTGGAACTAGTTTAAATGATCAGGCTTTGGAGTGCTATTCTCAACGTCCCACGCTAGTTGTTTCTCTTTAAGCTGCTTCTGTTTTTTGGCTACTAATGAGGGATTTGGCTCGCTGTCACACTGGGGTTTGATGTGCCCGTCCTCCCCACACTTGAAGCAGTACCAGGGTTTCGGCCTAGTGCTTTTGTGGTGGTTTGCATCTTGGCTGTGTAACTGCGGCTTTTGAAGGCCGGTAGTGTCGGCTGAAGACTTTGTAGCTACTGACTTGGAAGTTGATGGTTTGGCAGCTGGCTTAGTTGGTGTTTTCCGACTGTCCCTCTGAGTAATTCGGGTGAGCTGTGACTGTAAATCAGCTATCTGTCTCTTCAGGTCTTGAATTTCAATTTTAGAATTAGAAACAGATGGTGGTTGTGTACACTCTTCCCCATACTGAAAGTAAGCACCTTGGTAATGGGATGACGCTTTTTGCTTTGACACATTAAAATACTGCTTCATGCGGGACGCTTTGGAGATCCTCTTGTCTTCTGCTGTGCGGATTAACAAGAGAAGTTCTGCAAAGGTAGGTGGGTTCTGCTTCTTCTGTTCTAACTGCAACTCTGATATTAAGATGTTGTCCCAACAACCCCTAACGAATTGTCTTAAAAGCTGCCGGTCAAGGTCACTTGCAGGTACACCTCCCCTCCTGAAAGCGGCGTTTAGCATCACTTGCAGCCTCTGAAGGTAGACAGAGGGCTTCTCACCATTGTTTTGCATAGTATTAAGGTACCTTGCAAAGCAGTCATCCCCATCTTCGACTGTGCTGAAAGCAGAGTCTAGGATATTCAAATACATACTTGGAGGAGATTCAGGTGTCAGGTGCTTGACTATGTCAATAGCAGGTGATAAAAGGCTTTCAAGGACTTTCCGTGACTTGTATAGGTCTGGCTGTTTTGTGTCTTTAAGGAGCAGCTCTACATTAGAACGCCATGTCTCATAGTCTACCTCATTGTTGGGATGGGGGCAACGCCCAGAGAATGGCCGGAGTCTTAAGGGTGTGTGTATTTGCATAGCAGATTCTTCGTTTCTTACTATGTGTTCAACTATTACCCTCTGTACTTCGGGTGGATTGATATCAGGAAGTTTCGGAGCAGGCTGTGCCTTTCCTTCAGAGGGTGCCTTTGGTGGAGACCAGCTATATCCCTGCAGAGCATATGGCTTGTGAACTGTGCTGAGTAGGGGACTAATTTGGGCAGCGGTTCCTGGAACGTGTTGCTCTGGGGTGTCTAGTGAGTTTGGTTCAATTCCACCAATTTGGGCTTCTGTGGTTTCCAAGTCAACGGCTTCACTGATGACAGATAGCTCTTCTTTGAGGACAGCTGCCAAATCTCTGCCAGTCAACTTTGCTATCTCTTTCAACTCAGAGAGGTAGGTCTGCGTAACTAATTTGCTGGCTACGGGCGTGTAGGCACTGGCTAAGGATCGAATGTGGTAAGTAATGTCAGTTTGGGTTTTAGCGTGTAATCCGTGAAGTTCGTATGGCAACATGGGCGAAAGGGACTGCAGGGCTGCACCACTTACATACTCTACAATAACCTGTTTGCCTGTCTCTGACTCAGGGGATTCTACCTCAACTATCCTATGAATAGATCCGTACTGTTTAAGGAAGTCATATAGTTCCTCATCAGTATCTGTGCCATCTACCCCACTAACTATAACTGAGTTGGGAATTTTAACACTGCTTGCTTGGACTACTTCCATCATGAAATGTGATCTGGTCTCTGATTATTAGTTTTATGTCTTCCTTGACCACTCCTGGCTGGCTCGCCAAGTTGTAACAGATCTGAGTGCTAAGATTCAACTCTTAAACCGCTAGATCAATTCTAGGTTCTAAAGGAGTGGGGTGGAAAACATAAAACTCATGATGGAGTCCAGACGTTGAATGCGATAATGATATTTTACTGTAACACAGCAATATAGACAATTGTTTGAATCAAATGGAAAAGAAATCAAAAGAAAAAAATAACAAAGAGGTGAGTATAATGAAACAACACTTAAATTATCAGTATTTTGGGAAATTATTGATTTCACAAATCTGCCCAGCTGAGTGATTAACCCAATTTGTGAATTATTAGGAATAAATCAACTTCTTTTTCCTTTTATATTAACCTCTTTTTTTCCACAGGTAAAAGAAGAAAACAAATTAGTTGCACTTAAAGCAACACAATCACATCACAATAAAACTATGAACTAAAATGGAAAAATTGGAAAAGTTCACTTCAGAAAATGTAATGCACTTTTTTCAGTTCATGCAATGAATGCAATAAAGTTCAGTTTGTGTGCAACAAAGCTGTGTACTTCCTTTTCTTAATAACACAGCTCAGAATGTTCAATGGGAAAAAACTCCAATCGAGTTGGAAAAAATGAGAAAAGGATAGTAATCCGATCCAAATACAACAATCACTCCTAATGCTCTGTCAATGTGTTACCAGGTGATGCGATAGGTCCCCTGGTTACCGAAAGGAGATGAGGACGTTTACAATCCGGGTTGGCTCGCCATCTTAGTTTTCTCGTCATGCACGTCTTTTCCACATGTGTGCCCATGCACGCGCACACACACTTCAAGGAAGAGTCTTTGTCCGTTTTTTTTCTGGAACATAAAACCTGACCTACATAACAGGTCATAAAAACATCCATAAATACAAATAACCCTCAGAAAAAACAAAAAAACAAAATCAAAGCATAATATTACCACCCTGCTTCTCCAAGCAACACAAAATGGCATGAAACGGCATTTTGTCCCCACAACATCTTCTCATATAATAAATTTTAAACAATATCTGCTATAGGCAGCGTACAGTCAATTTTTGGTTGATTTAAACAGTTAAACAGTACATATTTATAGTATTTTCGTATAACTGATAGCTCTTTAAAGGCATTAAACAGCATATACAGTCAAACAATATGAGCCAAACTCACCAAACAATCGTCATTCACCCAAATGCATTCCGTTTAGGTTGCTAACTAGTCAAGTATCAGTATCTATCCTTTTTTTGAGTGTTAATATCAACTTTACTCAAGTTAAACTCAAAGTGAATCTGCTCGCGATCTCTCTGCTTCACTCTTCCTCTGTAGCTGTACAAAATGGTGCGCGCAGCTGCTGCACGCGGTCGGGGTGACTTTCTTAAAGGGGAAGCGTCAACATAAATCCTTACAGTTTATTTTTTATGAACTCTTATATTTAAATGCTCAACTTATTTAATTTAACTATATACAATCAATGTCGTTTTCAGAAATCCTTTACCTGCTACAATATTGTGAGTTTTAGTACCCACAAGTTTAAGCACTCATAAAGGCTCCATTCTACTGCTGGGTTACATTATACTTGACCCGCTCGCATCCGGAGTCGTTGTCATGGCGGCGCGCATTGTTTAGAGCAGATATAGGTGGATAAACAAGGCTTCCGTCTCCTCGCGGGTTCAGATTCACTGAAATACGTCCGCACCGCAAACATGTTGCTTCAGACAAGCATGTGCAGGTCGCGGTTTCTGTTTGCGTCATCACAACATTTCGGCCGTATTGTTTCGGTGATAAAAGTCTTTTGGCCGAAAACCGAAAATGCACTTTTGGGCCATTTTCGGCCGAAAATTTTCGGTGGCCGAATATTCGGTGCATCCCTAGTAAACACTGATGATGCGAGCGAAATACCAGAGTGAACATGGCTGTAAACGACCTTTGCTTCAGTTTGAAAAACCCCAGAATGTTAAGTCAAGTCAAGTCAAGTCACATTTATTTATATAGCGCTTTTCACAATACAGATTGTATCAAAGCAGCTTCACAGTGATAACATGAAAGTAGCACAACACAGATCAACAACATTGCTAAACACTAAATAACCCCAACTGAGCAAGCTCAAAGCAAGCCAAAAGCAAGGTGACAGTGGCAAGGAACCAAACTCCATCAGATTGGATGGAGAAAAAACCTTGGGAGAACCCAGGCTCAGTCGGGGGCCAGTTCTCCTCTGGCTTACATTCATATTGTTTAAATATAAATATTAAATATAAATATTGTTTATGAATCAAACGGCGCCATAACATATCGCAGGCGTTGAGTCGTCTCATCACAGGCGTTGAGTCGTCTCATCACAGGCGTTGGGGCATCCGAAATCCCCGTGAGAGGCTGGACACAAAACTGGACCTGACGAACGCCATTTTTCTCGGGACAAGCGTCCCGAGATAACAGCAGAAAGGCAGATGGGAAATAATTAGCATAGCTGATGTTCATAATGATTTCCGTTATAACTCACAAACTCTCCGTAACCCGAACTCTCCGCAACCCAACCATACGCGCCGACCCGTTTGTCTAAAAGGCTGTCGAGCCCCACTGGTGCGTTAAGCAGTTTCAGTGGCAAACGGTTCCGTATGGCATAACAGAGGACTAGAAGGTAAGCATTATGTGAATGCTTGACTAAAGAGATGCGTCTTTAATCTAGTTTTGAACTGTGTCAGCGAGTCAGAGGCTCGGACCGTATCGGGAAGGCCATTCCAGAGTTTTGGAGCTAAATGCGAGAACGCCCTCCCTCCTTTACTGGACTTCGATATCCTAGGAATGACCAGAAGCCTTGAATTTAGTGATCTTAAGGAACGCGGTGGATTGTAGGGCGAAAGAAGGTCCGTTAAGTACATAGGTGCTAAACCATTTAGGGCTTTATAGGTCAGTAGTAGTATTTTGTAGTTGATGCGGAACTTAATAGGTAACCAGTGTAGAGATGATAAAATCGGTGTTATATGATCATATTTTCTTGACCTAGTAAGAACTCTAGCAGCTGCATTTTGTACTAACTGTAGCTTGTTTATTGAGGATGCAGGACAACCGGCTAATAAAGCATTACAGTAATCTAGTCTCGAGGTCATGAATGCGTGAACTAATTTTTCTGCATCAGAAATAGATAGCATGTTACGTAGCTTAGCAATGTTTCTAAGGTGGAAAAAGGCTGTTCTTGTAACATATGAAATATGATTTTCGAACGACAAGTTGCGGTCTAGTATAACACCCAGGTCTTTTACTGTTGTGGATAAAGCAACAGGACATCCGTCTATATTAAAGTTGTATTGTGAGAGGTTTTGTGAGTAGTTTTTTGGACCAATAAGTAATACCTCCGTTTTATCTGAATTTAATAGCAGGAAATTACGCGTCATCCAGCATTTTATATCTTTGAGACACTCTGTCATTTTAGATGAGTTAGTGTTTTCATCTGGTCGTGATGAAATATATAATTGAGTGTCGTCAGCGTAACAGTGGAAATTAATTCCATGTTTTCTTATAATATTACCAAGTGGCAGCATATATATTGAGAATAGCAGAGGGCCTAAAACCGATCTTTGCGGTACTCCATAGTCTACTGACGTTATCTTTGATTTTTTCCCATTTAAACAGACAAAATGAGAACGGTCCGATAAGTACGATCTAAACCAGCTTAATGCCTGTCCCTGGACACCGGTGAAGTTTTGTAGTCGATCCAAGAGTATTATATGATCTATAGTGTCGAACGCAGCGCTAAGATCAAGTAGGACTAGTATTGAGATACAGCCTTGGTCAGAAGCTAAAAGTAAATCATTTGTAATTTTAACTAGCGCAGTTTCTGTACTATGATGCGTTCTGAATCCTGACTGGAATTTTTCATAGATATCATTTTCTTGCAAAAAAGAGCACAATTGAGCGGACACTACTTTTTCAAGTATTTTGGACATAAATGGAAGATTTGAAATGGGTCTGTAATTTGCCAAGTTATTTGGATCTAATTGCGGTTTCTTAATGAGCGGTTTTATTACAGCCAGCTTGTATATTTTTGGGACATGACCTAAAGATAAAGACGAGTTAATAATATTGAGGAGAGGCTCTTCCACTGCAGGTAATAGTTCTTTCAGTAGTTTAGTGGGTATTGGATCTAATAAACAAGTTGTTGGTTTAGATGCAATGATAAGTTTATTTAGCTCCTCCTGTCCTATCGTTGTAAAGCGGTTTAGTTGTTCTAGAGGGTCCATAATTGAAGCTGAATCATAAGACACCATAGCGGATTGTACATTTATAATTTTGTTTCGGATGCTTTCTATTTTCTCATTGAAGTAATTCATAAAATCATTACTACTAAACTGTAAAGGTATATTTTGCTCTGGTGATGTCTGTTTATTTGTTAGTCTAGCCACGGTGTTAAATAAAAACCTTGGATTATTTTGGTTATTTTCGATTAGTTTGCGGAGATGCTCAGCCCTGGCTGTTTTTAGTGTCTTTTTATAACGTGACATACTGTCTTTCCACGCGATTCTAAAGACCTCTAAATTAGTTTGTTTCCATTTACGCTCTAAGTTGCGAGTTTCTCTCTTGATAGCATGCGTAGCACTGTTGTACCATGGTGCTTTAATTTTCTCTCGAACCTTTTTTAATCTAATTGGCGCAACAATATCTAATGTACTAGTAAGAATGGTGCTTAAACTGCTAGTCATTTCCTCTAATTCATCTGTTTGTTTGGGTTCACTTTGCAGCTTAGATAGATCAGGTAAGCTATTTGAAAATCCATCTATAGTGGTTGGAAGGATTGTTCTGCCTGGTCTATAACGTGGCGCAACATGACATATTTCAGCAGTACGTATTATGCAAGTCACCATGTAATGATCAGTGACATCATCGCTTTGCGGTATAATATCTATATCAGTTGGATCGGTTCCATATGATATAATTAAATCTAGTGTATGATTTAGACGATGAGTGGGACCACTGACGTTTTGTTTGACCCCAAAGGAGTTTAATAAATCTGTAAACGCAGCCCCTAACGCATCATTTGTATTATCTACGTGTATGTTAAAATCTCCAGCAATTATTGCTTTATCGACATTTACCAATAGATCCGAGAGAAAGTCTGCGAACTCTTTTAGGAATTCAGCATATGGCCCTGGAGGTCTATATACAGTAGCCAGGGCTAGAGATAATATAGATTTCCTTCTTACATCTAAGAGCGTAACATTTAGCACAAGTACTTCAAATGAATTAAACCTGTGACCTGTTTTCTGAGTAATATTAAAAATATCTTTATATATTGTTGCAACACCGCCGCCACGACCGATCAGACGAGGCTCATGTTTATAACAGTATCCTGGCGGAGTAGATTCGTTTAGACCGAAATACTCATTTGGTTTAAGCCAGGTTTCAGTAAGGCACAGAACATCGAAGTTATTGTCTGTGACCATTTCATTTACAATAACCGCCTTAGGTGTGAGCGATCTAATGTTTAGGAGACCTAGCTTTAGAAATTGTTTTTGTTGACTGATATTTAGATTTTCTGGTTTAATTACAATAAGATTTTTGCTAGATCCTACACTAGATTTATTGTTTGGCTTCACTAAACGAGGAATAGACACAGTTTCTATATAATGTTCCACACTATGCTTATTAGTTAAGTTTGGACCGCAAAGGCTGTAATTTGGACTTTGACTCATTAGTCATCTGGTGCGTAATGTCTTGGAAATGTTGTCCGACAGCACAGCCGCTCCGATTCGGCTGGGATGGAGACCATCTGTGCTGTACAGCCTCGGTCTTTCCCAAAACAGATGCCAGTTATTTACAAAGTGCAGCCTCTGTTCATTACACAATGACATTAACCATTCATTTAATGCAAAAAGTCTACTGAACCTTTCCTGTCCTTGTCTGTACGTGGGAAGCGGTCCAGACACGATGATCGCTGCTTTAGGCGCTGTGCTGCGTACCGTCTCGATCAGGCTCCTGTAGTCCTTCTTCAGAACCTCCGTCTGCCGCAGCCTGATGTCGTTCGCTCCCGCGTGCAGCACAACAGCTCCGACGCGCTCGTCCCCGTTCAGGATCTCGGGAACCTGTGCAGCAACATCAAGAACACGAGCACCAGGAAAGCAGTGAGTGCGCACTTTACCTTTATCCGAATTAGCGCGGACATGGCGGACTATGGATGTGCCGATGATCACGGCGTCATCGCGTTCCGGCTCGCGAAGAGGGGAGAAGCGGTTCCGGGTGGAGATCTCGAAGACCGGGAGGGGCGGAGAGGCAGCTCTGGTCCTGGCTCGTGTCTTCCGCTGTGTGATCCATGGTCCATGTTGTTTCGGTGCCGGAGTGAATAAAGCCTGAGATGGTCGCATCTTCCTCGGCAGAGTAACGTACGGCGTAGATGAACTCGGAGTCAAAGAGTGATTTGATTTGTTAGCGTCGGCGCGTGATGCTTCAAGCGTTGAGCGCCGATCCAACAGCTCGGCTTGCTTCACCAGCAGACCGCGGATCTGTTTCTCGACGTATTCCAGCTCCTGCTTCACCGTGAAGAGCTCGAATGTGTCTTCACCTGCACTCAAAGGTAAT